TGCGGGATATTAACAATTATCTGCAACATGCAATGATGCAACGTAATGTAAGAAGCAAAGATAAGGATGAGAATATCCCTCCACTAATATTACGCGCAAACACTAAAATGTGACAATGAAAAGTGAAATAAACTGCGCTTATCAAATAAATTTTACCAAACCCGACAACATTGGATCGTTGTTGGGATTTTCATCAACTCGTATTTTAGTGCCACTACAATAGTACATATCAGACGTGCCGATTAATATTATCAACGTCAACATTATTCGCATAGAGTGCAACGTGACTGCGGGTGCGTACAGCAACAACCGGTGTAATCATACGATACATAAATTCTCACCGAACGTGCCACCAGGATATAAGATCTCGGAAACAGAGGCACAGATCATTTACCTTCCGATCATCGTACAGAGCATTACGGATCTGACGATACGCATTGTGGATCAGAACGGACAATTGCTTGATTTTCGAGGAGAAGAAATAACTGTCAGATTACACGTACGACGTCGACGGCTGTAATACGCGGCATGCTCGTGCTGAACGAGGCGGATCAAGTGACGCAAGATATGAGGTATTCATTACAAACACCTGCTACTACTACTACGACGTACAGTAATCGGAAGAAGCTAAGTCCGATAAACGGTGAATTTTTACAATCGTTGGGATTTATTGTACGAAAATTTTGAAAAGATTTGCGACATTTTAAACGTTGGAGGTGAGCCGATCTTTGACGATCGCATCGTCAAGATTGAAACTCACACATACAATCCGTACGTGAACACAACATTTGAACACAATGATGAGATACGCATACCTATACAACAGCAGGACTTGTACACTTTACCTTGTCAAAGGTTTCTTTACGTCAAAGGAAAAATGACGTTGACGGTGAAAGACGAAGAAGAAGTATTTCTGGGTAATAATTGTGTAGCTTTTATGTTTGATGAGATTCGCTATGAACTTAATGGTGTGGAGATTGATCGTAATAGAAACGTTGGGATAACCAGCACGATCAAAAACTATGTATCGCTAACACATGATAAAAGCATGGCCATGAAAAATGCTGGATGGGATATTACACAACATACAGACGTAGATAGTTACTTTAGTTTCTGCGTACCTTTCAGCATGTTATTGGGATTTTGCGAGGACTACAAGCATACGATTATCAATGCACGTCATGAACTAATTTTAATACAATCGCACAACGACAAAAACTGCATAACAGCAATCTCTCAAGTAGATTGTGAGGCATTGAATGGAAACATTGAATTATTCAAAGTGCAATGGCGAATGCCACATGTAGTATTGAACGATGTCACGAAGCTCTCGCTGCTACGAACTCTGGAAAGCGGACGGTATTTAACTATGAGTTTCCGCTCGTGGGATCTCTATAAGTTTCCATTATTACAAAGCACGACTAAACACTCGTGGGGTGTAAAAACGGCGACACAACTTGAGAAACCGAGATACGTCATATTTGCGCTACAGACTGCTCGNAGAAACGATATGTCAGCAGATGTCACGCGATTCGATCACTGTCAGTTGACCAACGTAAAACTTTATCTTAATTCTGAATTCTATCCTTATGACGACTTGCATTAAGATTTCGATAGAAAAAAATATGCCATTCTGTACCATATGTACACACATTTTCGTAAAGCGTATTACGGATGTGGTGTTGTCGTACTGTTTCTCACGATTTCCAACTTTTTGCAATGTGGTCCTTTAGTGGTCATTGATTGTTCGCGTCAAAACGAGGCGGTCAAAAGTGCAACCGTCGATGTGCGAATTGAATTCGATTGCAAAGAAAATATACCAGCAAATACTACA